CGGCAGGAGCAGTGAGTTCTGGGGGTCTTCAGGGTTTTCTTTTTCCTTAAAGGGCCAGAGCTGGCCCATGCGGGGCACCCATGGTGGGGGGGCTCAGGGGCTCGTGCAGAGCCCCCCATGCAGCATGGGGCAGTGGGGATCGCCCCCCGCCTGGCAGCATCTGCTAAGCCGCAGCTTTTTTTCCCCCAAGTGCTGGGAACTGAGGCAGGCGGGCGGGGTGGCCATTGCTGGGCTGGGAGAGGGGCGGGGGATGGGCCTGGCCTGGCTGGTTTGGAGATTCGGCTACTGCTGAATCTCCAAATCAATTTCATCTGAATCGAATCAGGACAGTGATATGAATCACTGAATTGAATCACTGTCCCCTGAATCAGCCAAATCCAAAGCGAATACTAGCCGCTTCGCACAGGCCTATTGGATGCTCCTGCCTTAGAGGAAACTTCTGCTTTAACCCCTGTTAGTTAATGATCAGATTAAGCCCTGAAAGAGGAAAGTTTACATCCTATCTCATGCAACTGACATAAAGATGCCTGTAGATAATTAACTTTTGGTGGGGGAAGATCTCAGCCTCAATGAAACTTTGTGATAGCGAGTTCCAAAGGTTAATTATTATGTTGTGTAAAACAAAAATTCTCTTCCATGATTATTCGTTTTGCATGAAAACAAGGCGTTGGCTGACATTTGCAAAGGTGCCTAAGGGATTTGGATGCTTGATTCCTGTCAAGTTAGTATCTGAGACCTTGTTTATCTAGGAGTTTGTTGCTTCCTACTGTTTGTGGTTTTCCATCTAAAATCCTGACTTCTTGTTTGGACTTCTAAGAAATAATTATCATGACATTTCAGAGGGCTTTAAGGCTAGCTGGGACATAAGGTACTTGCACTTCTGTAAAGAAAAAGATTCTGACCTTGTTTTAATTCCAACATGGGTAAAGAATGAGCAAGAGGAAATGCAAGAGTGGAACTGTGTGTAAATAAAACACTATACCAAGTTTTCCATTAGGCATCAGCTGGGCTTTAACCCCCAAGTGACTGTATATAATCCATGTGTCAGTGTATATAAATATTTTGCTGTTATGCTCCATCAGGTACATATAAACAGACAGCTAATATCTCCAGCAGAGTTTGGCACAGCAAGATATATGGCCTTCTGTACACTGTTTAACCCATCCAGAAACACTGCACACCAACAGCTTTAAAAATATACACATGTACCCTCAGTATATGATGACCATTTTGCTCTTAGGATAAAATTAAAATCTACTATTGATGAGCATGGTTTTGCCATTTTCTAGCACCCTTTGTCTGAGGATTTCAAAGCATGTTACAAATATTCAATTAAACTTTTCCACCCAGCTCATCCAGGAAGGTTAGGGTCAGCATTTTTATGGCATGCGCAACTGGAGAAACTGAGGCATGGGTTGATAGCAAGGCTTATCTGAGACCACCCAGCGAAAGAGTGACAGAGCCAGCCACAGAACTCCAGTGTCCTGGTGTCGAGTCTTATTACATCCTTAAAGCATGCTGCCTTCCTTACGCAACAAGAAAATGTCTAGTTGCCAGGTATAAGAGGAAAAGAACAGGCCAGATCCCAGCTGGTGTAAATCAGCTCAGCCTTAATGGCTTCTGTGAGGTTACGTCAACTTCCCCAGCTGAGGATTTGGGAGGGCACATGTCTGAATGCTTCCAGAGCTGAATTGTCAAAGGCCCCACTAAATATTTCTTTCATCCACATCAACGTATTAGTTCTTTATCAGCTGAATAATCATTTGTATCATATTTCCCCAAGTACACAGTGGTCTCTGCTTCATTACAGTCAGCTCATTTTGTGTGTTCCTGTGACCCTAGCTATCTTTCCTTTGCTGCTTATCCTCCCGCAAGGATAAGGGCCTCTTCTTTGCTGTTCCTTTTCATAGACTGAGAGATGTTGTAGTCATCCCTTTGCAGATGGATTCCTTCAGGGTTAGAGATGTACAGAGTAAGAAAATAAGGACTTTTGTTGTTCATCTCCCTTTGACTCATCGAGTGACCTGAGTTACTTTTCTGCGTGCTTCAACTGTTTCTCCATCTGTGAGCTGACACCATCACCACCAGTCACCTCTGTGTTGCTATCTCCCTCAGTACAAGATGCTATGCCTAAGCAAAGCCAATGATTGTATGATTGATTATTATAGGCAAGCAACCAAAAGGCACCTTTTCTGTTGAGCACTACAGTGCACGAATGGCTCCTCACCTGCGCAAAGACTCTCGAAAGGAATCCTGTTTTGAACTAACCTGCTCTGGCAAGCGCAGCTACGAGGTAAGATCAGCTGAACACACTGACCTTTCATTGCTATCTGACTACCTAGCTGCTTTGAACATGAGAGCTTAGTGTGTATTATCTGTGTGCATTCTGCATACAAACATGTGGTACATGCTCTCAAGTAGGCAGGGTTGGGGACATACTTCAGCCTCTTTGCCATGTCCTAAATCACTAAACCTGAATCTGTGGCAAGACAGACCAGATGATGTGCTGTACAGAAGGTGCTGATGCCCCTTGTTCCTGGTAAGTAATCTGGAATCAAACCTTTCCAAGTATCCTAGGGTGACTTGCCTTGTTAAGACTACGATGACAACCAAATGGTACTGATCTTCAGTCATGGCTGGAAAGTCTGATTCTGCACTGCTTTCCACCTTGCACTTACATCAGTACAACAGGGGTATAAAGTATGACCAGAACTAAATCATTTGGCACTCACTTGGCATAAGTTGGGAGCCCTGGAGTGAAAACTGGACCCAAAAGGTCTCATTTTAAAACAAGGGTTTTGCAGACTGACTTCATGCTGTTTTCTGTCTGGGTGAGGCTGAAAATAACAGAAACAGTCCAAAGCCACAAACTTTGGGTCTGGACTTTCCTGGATTTCAGGAACTTTGGCTCAGACTCAGTAATAATAATAATAATAAAATACTTTACACAACAATCAGGTTTTTATTTGGTGAGTCAAGATCACTTTAATAAATTAAGCCTGGCAACCTTCCTCTAAGGTGGATCAGCGTTGTTACACCCTTGTGATTTTCTGTAATGTAAGATTAGAGAAGTGCAGTGACTTGTTCAGGGTTGCACAGTGGGTGAGTGGCAGTTCCCAGACTAGAACCTAGGAGTCCTGGATCCTAGTCTTTTGCTCTGACAGCTAGTCTCTGATCCCTCTGCTTAACTCCTCAGAACTAACACATGGATTCATTCATTCTCTCTCCAGTTTACAGCTTCAAGTTCAGCAGAAGCTAGAGACTGGGTGGATCAGATCCAATTCCTGCTGAAGGGTGAGTAGTAGTGGGGAAACACTGTAGCTCAGGACAGGCCAACAAGTTTGGAACCTTATTCCTTCAGACAGTCTGAGGCCTTAGCTCCAGGGAGCTTAATAACACTTTACACTTCCCTAGTTCCATTCATCCAGGGATCTCAAATCCATTTACAAATATTGAGAAATTAGAACTCACCACCCCTGCAAGATGGTCGTTTACTGTTGTCATCCGTCTGATACAGATGGAGAAATCAAAGGGGTACTGTGACCTGCCTAAGGTCTCACACAAACTCAGTGGCAGAGCTGGGAAAAGAAGCCAGGAATCCTAATTCCTGGACCTCTGTATAAAAAGATGCAGTTCCTTCCCAGAGTTAGGAACAGAAGCCAGAAGTCCCTTTTCACCTTACTCTGCTTTTCACCACTCAAGTCCTCCCTCTCTGCAAGCCAGTCCACATTACAAAGTTTTGTCACTTATACCCACCACCCCTCTTCAGTGGAAGAATCTTCCCTCCTAGCAGCACTTATTCGCCCTCTGCCAAGCAGAATAAGACTTCTGCCACCCCCTCCCCTCCCATGGCAGACAGCAGAATGCACACAGAGACACGCTAGCATCCTCTGCCGGCTACTGCAGTCATGTCAGCAGCCAGTGCCTTTCTAGGGTGCACTTTGCACTCTGCAACACAGCTGCTGAGTGAGGTCATCAGAAGTGCATGGATGTGCATGGTTTTTCGTGGTGGCAGCTGCTGCCTGTCTTTACAACTTCTATCACGGAGGTGGGCGTGTTCAGCCATTGCCTAATTTCTCTGGCCCTTACATTCCTGATATCTTTTTTGAAATTCACATGATAGTTGCCATGAATAGAAAAGCACTTTGCTCCTGTGCAGCAGCACTAGGACTTAAAGCCACATAAGACTGCTCTTTACCAGTCTACTGGAGAGAGAGCCTCTCTGGTGTCACCTTGTGCAAAGGAGTGGGATGCTGGATGCAAGATGTCTGCTCTTATGGCACCCTCTGCTGGTCAGTCTTGGGGCACAGCACTGAAGAAACTAATAAACAGTGGGGGAGAAGCAGCTACCCCTGAGTAAGCAGGTGGGGGAATAGTGGGGGCTTTTTCCTGCAAAGTCTCTGTTTGCTGCTATCAGATAATCCAGCTGGAGAGAGAGTGCATTTGGGGTTAAAAAGAGACCATTGCTACTTGAAACAGAAGGGCTGCCAGTTTTACTCAATATTTTTACTACTGAGAGAACAAGCTGTGGTGTGGTGTGGTGGGGGTGGGGAGGGGCTGAGAGTCTCTCTTGGTGCAAGCATGTGGTATAAGAAGAAAGGCCAGATTCTGGTGAAAATCTGGAGCCTCACTGCTCTAACAACCCTTAAGTTATTTCAGGTTTACACCAGCCTAACTGAGATCTGAATCCAGTGGTAGGTGCGTAAACTTCCTGGGAATTGAAGACACCTTTGTTGTTTTGTACCCCTTGATACATTCTGATCTGTGGGTTAAAATCTTGGTTGTGCTGTTAAAAGAGTTTCATTATACCAGTGGTTCTCACCATCTTTAGACTCAAGGTCCCCCTTGGAAAATGCTACCTTCAAGCCTTCACTTGCTTTTTTGACCACAGAAAAATAATAGAGCAATTGCTCTGTTGCAGAGAACTCAGAAAACCCACAACAGATCAGAGGATTTTTGACATTATGGATTCCTATTTGAAATCTCTGGGTTTATTTTGTGAATCATGGTGTCTGAACACCTAACAATACAAGTATTATATGGTAGCCCATGGCACCTTGATTGGGAATTGCTGCATTATACTTTCCACAGTGAGTCCAGTGATTGTGTAGCATTTCCTTGGTGCTCTAGGGCATAGTTTCTCAACCTGTGGTACATGTACCCCTGGGGGTATGTGAGACAAAGGCAGGGGGTAAACAGGTACCCCAACTCTCTCTCTCTCTCTCTGTCTCTCTCTGTCTCTCTCTGTCTCCCTTGTCCCTTCCTCATCTCAAAACTATGGTAAAAAATGTAGTGCACTGCACATTGTGCGGTGCTTGAAATTCCCCAGTAATAATTTGGTGTTCAACCTTCCTAGTTTTGGCCAGCATCACCTCTAGCCCAGGTACATACTTGAGTTGTGCACCCCTGGTGTAAAAGGTGGCAGTCCTGTCCACACCAGATCAGACATCTGTCATGTCACAGCCTTATATACACAGCCCATCTTCCAACATATGGCACACATTAGTCTGTAAATATAAAATCCCCTGGAAAATTGAGTGTTGGGGTACTTCTGAAATTTTTCAGAAGTTAGGGGGTACTTGCTACTTAAAAGGTTGAGAAACACTGCTCTAGGGAGGTATATACTCTGCAAAGTGTCCGGTGACTGGGGACTAGGCTGAACTCCTTAAGAAACCCCACTCTGTGTTTTCCTTCTGGAAAACCTGGAATTATACCCTGCAGATTTCCTCTAAGTCCCCAGGGCTTTCTACCCCCTGTTAACAGTCTTTACCCGGTATTCTCTTTGCATGTTCTGGGCCAGTCACCCATGGAAATCTAAAGGGGACAGCCCAATTCTGTTGCCTTTTACTGTTGAATCAGATTTATGATGATGAGCACTGAGCAAGGCTAGCCTGGTTCTTGGATAAATTTTGGTGCACTCCAAATAACAGCATTTAACCTAATAGCTTGGTTTTCTCTGGCTCATTCTTTTTCACTTTCCTTTCTGCCAGACATGAGCTCCTTCACCATTCCATATGATGAGGAAGAGGAGGAGGAGGAAGAAACTTATGACGACATTGACAGCTTTGACACTCCAAACACAGCAGTACACAATGCTAGCCTGAATATGGAGGAGGAGGAGATGGTAGCAGCCGGTGGTGAAGAGGCGGACGACATCTATGAGGTTCTACCAGGTGTGCAAAGTATTAAGCTGCTTCCAGGCTGGTTTCTATAGAGTCCAGACTGCTGAATGAGCAGAGAGGTATTGTTCTCCCATGAGGGAAATGCTTTTGTTGGAATAACAAAAGTGCTAAAAGTGGGGTTATGGCAAAACTACTAAATTTGGAGTGTTTACAACCCAGCTGGTCCCATTCTTAGTTCAATACAGTCCACAGGATATGGATTTTACTCCTAAGGTGCTTTTTTAAAAAAAACAACAACGTTGAGTCTCTCAGATCAAAGCAACCACTCTTTCTTAGAAGAGTGGTTCCCAATATTTTTAGACTCATGGCACCCCTTAGAAAATGCCAGCTCATAGCTTTCACTCATTGTTTTGACTGTGGAAAAACAGTAGAATAATTACTCTGCTGGAAAGAACTCAGGAGGTGCAGAACAGATCAGAATGGTTTTGAAAGTATAGATTCCTGTTTGAAATCTCTGGGTTTATCTTGTGAATCATGTGTAGGTATTTGCACACGTAACTGCGCTATTATTATGTAGCAGCCCACAGCATCCTTGCAATGGTCTCACAGCACCCCAAAAACATATATAAGAACATAAGAATTGCCATTTACTGGGTTAGACCATAGATCCATCTTGCCCAGTCTCCTGTGTCACAGCAGCAGAGAACAGATGCTGAAAGTGAGAGTGAACTGTAACCAGGGTTTTGTTCATTGTTCCTCTCTCGCTTGCAGACTCCAGACTTTAAAGTCTAGGTGCTATGGCACCCTGGTTGAGAGTCACTGATCTAGAAGATATGTGCTAGTGAAACTGTATGTTCTTGGGTTCAGCTCAGGAGTCATGTGGTGGACTCTATAGCCTCTGTAGTTGATGATAATGATGCCCATATTCATCCATTCTGAGCAGGGGATCTATGTCGCTGAGGTGGCTTCCAGTCTGGCAAAGATGATAAAATAGTGATGTTAAAGATAGGCCCTTTTTACCCAAAAGTGCAATGGGCTTTAAGCATGCAGTCCACCTGGAAAAGATTGCTCAAGTGCAAAGCCAAGAACTCCAATGTATTGACTTGTAACTGCTTGCTTTAGAAGGTATAAGAGCCAGGAGCAAAGCCATGGGAGGGCAACATGCTCTGCAGTGCTCTTAATTGTTACCATAAACAGCACCACGTAACCTGCCCCTGAGCCTAATGCCAGACACACCATTCAGGCAGCAAGGCTGGAGAAACAGCCGTGCACCCAGCAGGCTCCCAGGGGGCCAGGGATGATGTTGGTTGAGCCCTATTTCTCAGGCACATGCCACTCAGATTCTTTGCAGATTCTTAGAATATGTTATTCCAGCAACATGGGGGAAGGGTTTTGCCCAGAAATATGACAAGAAAACACCTTCCATTGCACCCATGTTCATGAAACCTAGATTCAGGACTTATACTGACCTTCCTGTATCTATTTTACATTGATCTGGTAGCCACTGGAGGAAGCAGACCCAAGTTTCCCAGTCTCTGTAGTGGTGAGGGAGGGAAGAGGAGGTTGGAATCAGCCCTGATGGATCCTTACCCCAGTACCATAAATAAACTCCCAGGCTCCTGTGGCTACTTATGAAAGACTTAAGGGAGGTTTTACCTAAGGTTCTGGTCAGGATCAGGCCCTAAACTCTCTGCCCCTCCCCATAGATGATCGTGCCTGCCCATGTGTGAGGAGGAATGTGTCGCAGTTTGTCCAAGAGCCCAAGGCCTTTGGTTTAAGAATAAAGGCACAAAATCCACTGATAGTGTCCTGCCACCCTTGCCCATTGATAAGCAATTTCCTTGGCAGCTGCAGATAGGGTTAGTGATTGTAGAAGGGAGGTTGTTACTGGTGCAGCCAAGTATGGATTCTTGGCACAACGCAGGAGCCAAACTCTGTTCTGTGCAACACCCATATAGCCCCACAGAAATCAGCATTGTTGTGTGTGGGGTAGGGAGAGCAGAATTTTTGTTATGCAATTTATATCTGGCATTGAGGTGCACTGGGCTAATTCACTGGTTCTCCACCTGGAGGTTGCAAACTGCTTGCCCTTCCCATATTTCAGAATGGGACGGGAAGCCTGCATAGACCAGAGGAGGGGATTACAGGTAGGGAAAAATCTGAGGACCATAGAACTAAATCCTCAGCTGTGACATTTATATGACCCACTGTGTCCGTTCCCAGGGCTCTCTCCCCTCCAGCACCCAGCTTCTTGGCCCCTCTTTTGAAATCATCATTGATTTACAGCCACCATAAACATTTCGGTAGCTATGAATTGTTGTGCCACAAACTGAGGATTATGACTGCAGATAGGGAAACAGCAAGAGTAGAAGAACCTTTGAACACTGAGGATCTGGTGACTGGGTTGGTGTCTAGGATTTTCCATCTGTAAATAGGTCATTTTTTAAAGCTTTGCCTGCTTTGGCAGCAGTATTCCCAAGAAACAGGTCGTCTGATCACTTTAAAGATCCTCCACTGTCTTGTAATGTCTGACAAGGTTGATAAAGATGTAAGGTGGATTTAAAATGCTGCTGCCCTGACCTTGATAGCCCACAGGTGTCAAGGAAGACCGTGAACAACATTCTCCCTTGCTGGTGTCCCTAGTGCTAATATATACTACTGCAAAGTGGCTGGAAGATGCTGTACTGGTTCAGACAGCTGACAAGGCACAGGGAAGTAGAGAGCCAAGTCCACAGGCTGCAAAGTGAGGAAGAATCAGGCCCCAAGGTTCCTTACGTGTACTGCTAATGATGCCTGAGATGATTAAATCTTTCTCTGCCGTTCCTGCTGCTTTGCCATTTGTGCCTCTCCAGCTCATCCCAGGGTACTTATTTCACATCTGGGTTTCCATCGGTCCCACTGTCCAGCTCTTGTGCTGTAGTAGCACAGTGCCACAGGGGGGCAGGCTGCAGAGCACTGTAGGGCGACAATAGAAATCCAAATCCAACCCTTTCTTCCATTGTATGTTGGTTGACATGCTCTGTATGTGTCATTTCTATCAACCCTTTAGCTTTGCTTGTAAAAGAGAATTGCTGTATTTACTCACATACCACACATACTTTTTTCTCAAAAATCTGCCCTCCAAAATTGAGGTGCATTGCTTTCTTCACTGGAATAGAAGCATGAAGATGCTGTGTTGCAAAATGGCTCCCAGCTTCTCTCAGCAAGCAAGCAGGAAAGGTGGAGTGCAGTGTTAACCCTTTCCCAGCTGCTGTCAGCTTGCTGGCGAAGAGAGAAGCTGGCAGCCATCTCACAATACTACTTCTCCATGAAAAAGCCATCGCTAGGCCCTGAGTCTGAAAAATGTGTGTTTTATACATTCAGCCTTCCAAAAAAACAAGGTGCATGTCTTATCTGGGGATATGTGGTATGCAACATAGTACAGTATTTAGGGCCTGGGTTAACCTGAATCAATGTCCTTCATACCGCAAACAATCTCCCATCTCTTGAATCCTGGGATCGCAGAAAACACTGCAACGTGTGGCACCTCAAGCACCCTGTCCTCACAATACCTTTTCAAGCTTCTGCACTGCCATACTCTTGCGTTCTGGCATTTTGCAAGTAATGAGGTCTGTTCCAGCTCTAATGGTGCAGTCCATATTTTTCTCCTCCCACTCCCCTGGGTGTAGATGGGAAGCATAAAACATTGCAGCTGCACTGATTGAATCACCTGTATCCCACAATTCCCTGCTTCACGTGTGGATATTCACTGGTGTTCCTTTCTTCAAGTGTTCTGGACTAGGCATCATGGAGAAGGTGTCTTATAGTCCGAGAATGCACTGGTGTAAATACAGCTGCAAGGGTTGTGACAAAATGGGCTCCCTCATAGGAAAACAATGGGGCTGTCTGGAAGACCCTTAACCCTGGGAGGATAAGTGAGACAGCTAAGCGTTTCAGACAGTGGGTCCCTTCTTTGAGTGAGGACGCAGTTCCGACTCCCACATCCCAGCTTCGCTAGCCAAAGTGGCAGGGAGTTTGAGATCCAGGACAGCCTCACTTCTGCTCTCCAGGCTTGTATATTGTGCATCTCTTCTGCAACTTGCAGCAGAACCTGCTTCTGCTGAGTTCTGCTGAGAACAAGTGTCACTTGGAGGCTGCATGGAAGAGACAGTGCTGTAGCTATTAAGCATCCTGAAAGGGTCATGGATAGTGAAAGGAGTTTTCTGGATCCCAGGCTTTCTATAACCACACCCAGCATAGATGTTGCCTGTCACAGGTCTGTCATCTTTAGCAGCTGTCAGGAGGAATGAAGATGTGCCTTGTCAGCATTCCTGGTCTGAAGAGTAGGTGGAGCTGTTGCTAGACTGGTCATGTCTTGTCGTGGAGAAACTCTGCTTGTAAGAGAACCTGTGTGATGTGGCCATACCACCATGGAGCAAGTGCTATCTGCACTCCACCATACCATGCAACCATGGAAGGTGTAAGAAGCATCATTACCATTCCAATGAAGAAGGGCTCAGCACTTAAGTCCCCCAGCCACTGTCTGGTCTTCTCCCTTAAGTGGATCTGCTCCTGCTCACCCTTCTTCGAGAGGGAGAGATTTACACAACCCAGCCACAGTGTTGCTGCTGTCCAGCAGTATGTGGCTTGCATTATAGAAGGTAAGGTATTTGGTAGATCATAAAGAGAGGAAGTTGTACAGGGGAAGTGGGGCATGCAGTGGATAGAGCAGTAGCCTACACCTTGGAAGAACCAGGTTCAAGTATTTGCTCCGTCACAAGTTTCCTATGTGACCTTGGGCAAGTCATTTAGCCTTGCTTCCGCACCTGTAAAACTGAGGTAATAGCCCTGCACTGTCTCACTTGGCTCTTGGGAGGGTGAATCCATTAATAATGGCAAGGTGCTCTGACACTGCGATGACACAGACCATGCCAGCATTTCACGTAGCTCACTAAAGAAGCACCTGCTGTGTCCAGCCTTGCTTCCCCCCACAACCTCTGTGTGATGGGGGATTTCTTTACTCTGCAAGTGACAGTCTCTGCTGAGGTTGAGCTAGTTTTCTCATACCCCAA